GTCAATCGGATAATGGAGCTGGAGTCTTGAATGCGAGTCTCTTGGATACAACACACATCGATGGCTAGGGTCTCGAGCGTACGAGCTAAACCGGCCTGTTGTCCTATTCGCATCAGAGTGCGCACATTAAATGTGGCTAGTTTGAAAGGATATCGAGGGCGAAGAGGGGCTTCAGGTGGTGGAGGAATCGGTGAGACTTGGACGGTAGTCGAGGTAGGACATGAGGGAACAGCGGCAGAGTTTCCATCTGAGGCACTAGTGCTTGCACGATCGTCTGAAGACCCGGAGAAAAGGAGTGGATGAAGGGAGCGGATGTGGGATGGGTGAGGGCTGGGAGGACGTGAGTGTGTGTACGGTGTAGATTGTTTGTCTCTAGTTGCAGAAATAGTAGACTGGATTGACATAGAAGTCGAAGAGATCATCGTTGTTTGCGTTGAGGGCTGTTCTACTATTCGGTTGCCCGGTTCAGGATAGGCCTTGTTCGAGNCACACTCGCCACGTCACAGCGCTGTCCACAGATATATGTGGCGTTTTGTACGGAGAACCCTTGCCAGGGGTAAACCCACCACATCCTCGAGTGCTGCCGCTGATCGTCCGCGACCGCTTATTTGGAGGGCCGAGGCCCACCTTATTCATGGTTAGACGTGAGATAACGGCCGTTCCCCTATCCGCGACCTGGGAACGCGCTCAGTAGCATACGGCTCTGCTCTCCCGAGCAGAGCCGGTTAACCTTTAAAAGAGATTGACATTTGCAATCACACCCTCATCAGTAGTCTAACAACGGTAGTTCGATTATTTACAGTTAAACAAGCAATAAACATTTCGGCCTATACACTAGACTTGTCACTTTATGTGTGAGTGGCTGATGCTCTCAAAGAGCCAGTCTAACTGAACATAAAACTACATCAAGCGATCACGGTTGTGCTTGCGGTCAGAATTATGGGGATTTGACTCTTGAAAGATCTGTAACTGATTTTCGCAGGTGCACGTTGTCTTCGTAATCCTTTCTACGGAGATTTTTAAATGACCTCGTTTTCACGACAAAATGTGCCGATTTGCCCTTGCTCGTGGACGACCGGTCAGATTTCGCGCTGATCCATTGTACGTGGTACAGGGAACTCGTCAATAAACCAATATAGTCGCCATCACTACGAACCATGTCCAACTCATCGTTTTTTGTTCATTATCAACTTTTCGGCGCATCACGTTGGAACATGTTATCTCACTTCTTCAGAAAACTATATAGCACGTAATCTCCATCCGGCTCTGGGCCGACTCATGTGTATCAGACATGGATATCATTCGTAGAAAACCTCATGGTACGAGGTTATCAAAATCACGGTTTAATGCCAATTATTCTAACACGGGAACATGCCATCGCAGAAACTGATAACCATTGATAAATTACGTTTCCTTATAATATGCAACTTATGATTCTCTTGTTTTGATTCCGTTCTATAGGTTTCAATAGAAAAACCGAGTGATACAGAGTTTGAACGAAATCTGAATCTAATGTCCGATGGTATGTCCCGACTGAAAGGTCTTGCTCAAGGCCTTAACGAAGAGTTGCGGTTGCAAAATGAACAGCTTGATCGAATGGCTCCCCGAGTCGATGCAGTCACGGACACAATGACTCGACAAAATCAGCAGATGAATAAACTACTCGGTGTAAAACCCAAATAAAACAAACATACTTCATTTGTTGTGTCCATCGTGATTGCACTCCTGAATATCGATCCGTCTTTGATTCAGTTCCGTTTTCCATCATGGTTCCCCGATAACCACTATCGTGTGCGTTTGTTTCAAGCTCAGATCGAGGTTAAGCGTATTTCTGTATGCTACATTGACAGAACGCCCTTGTGCTGGTTGCTTATTTTTACTTTTCACCATTATTCACTCTGTGCCGCACTGTGATCTCGACGAATATAATTTTTTGCATCTTGTGTGCCTTTTCAGTCAATCAAAACGGTGGCTCTGGGAAAAGTTACCCTAGGTTACCTAGAGGCTGATCCAAGTTGTCACTTAAAAATCTATTATACACATGTTTTTTGCAACCACCGTTTTATGTTACTAGTTTTACCAACAGTATGAGTAAAAATGAAGCATTAGGGTTTTTCAGTAGTTGAATGACCGTCAATATGAAATTCGCCCTTTCCGAATTACGGGGAACCTACTGGTTCACATCGCATTCGTGGTCAACTGTACTCGATAACTACGGAGAAAATCACTTGATTTCGCTCGACATTTCAAATGCCTTCAACCGTGTTTGGGATGAAGGTCTACTGTTGAAATCACCCACGTTCAGGTTCCACCCGTCTCCCCCTGTCGTGTCTCCAATGTTTCCTCTGCGAACGAAACCGCCGTCCAAGTCGATGGTGTTCTGTCTCGATCACTCCCTGTGGATGCCGATGTTCCCCAGGGTTCCACTTTTTCGCTCACGCTGTCTCTGTTTATCATCGATCTTTTGTCCAAAACCTCTAATCGTGATTGCTGCTGTAACGATGGTGCCGCTCTTCATTGTCGTCTTTCTTGTCCCACAACTCGTCAGACCACACTTCCAATATCCATCACGATCATAATGTCATTAATGCTTCCATTATTTCCGATCTCGGACTCCTCCGCATAGGGTTCTACCAACCATATGTGTTTTAATGCTTCCCAAACTTCTCTCCTTTCCGTCTCTTGTAAACGTGCCGCTTATTCTCCTCAATTGATTTTTGACTGATTACCCCTTCGTTCCACAAATTCTTTCTCTTGCTCTTGGGTTTATCCATAAATTCTTTTCCCTGTTGGTATCTTTTTATTTCCATAATCTCCTCTCGCGCTGCGTGCAAAGTCGGTTTTTCTATTCTGCGCAAAGCGTTTCTTTACACCCAAGCACTTTCTGTTATAAAAAGCTCGAATACTACAGTCACCTATGCGGTGGAGGTTCGTTTTCCCTCTTTCTCTCCTCGACCATTTTCAACGTAAGGCCATCTACGTGATTGGCGAACCGTCTGACTCAGCCTGCATTCATTTGCCCATCGCCGGGCATTCGCTTCGTTATCTTGTTATCCCAGTTACCTAATTTCTTCTATTTTAACTGTTCCACTTTCTTCCAACTTTGCTCTGTATTTCAACCCACCTGCCCCATGGTAATGTTAATGTTATTAATGCCGTGGCGCTGGCATCATGCTTGTTTACAAGCCGGTGGAAAATATATATTTATGTACTTTGTTATCTCTTTTCTGTCTTCACTATTTTGGTTTCTGTTCTTCTAAACTCGCTTCAACAGTTCCTTTCCCATTGACCTTTTCTCGTTCTCAGGCGGATATTTATCCTTATTGGGTTTCTATCTCCAAATGTTGGACTTCTATCTCCCAATTTTCTTTTTACCCAGGACTGCAAAATTGTGAAACACTGTTCCCATCTCCGTGTTTCCAACCACTTATAATTTTGCTCTTTACAAAAGCGGGATTACAAAATTGCTTCTCATTTGAATGTTCCACCACATACCTTCCTCCATACAATATGCCATTGACAATAGGGTTCACCTCTTTTGCTGTAAATCACTTCGTGTGTAATAATAAAATTCTTATTGACGGCACTTGTAGTACGTTCGGATAGTCCTGTATGGAGATGAGACCCGAGTAACTACGAGATTGGTGTGTGATATGCCGTACCCTTTCGCGTTCCCAGTTGGAAGGTCGATTTAAACCAAGCCGCAATGAACATTCAGATGTGCATTAGTTGCAGCTTGTACGACTATCTATTGTACTTCAGTTCTATGGATTCAATTTCCATTCTTTTGTACACCCATCTAATCGACCACTGAGGTGTAATCAACCGCCTGTGAATGTTATCAATAAAACCGTATGGATGGTAAAGAAATAGGTAGATGAAATAGGTTCCGTGTCCATTATCATCATGGAAAATACACATTCACCTAAGGCTGTGCATTCAGCCACTGATCGGTCTCACATAGAACAAAAAGAAAAACAGAATTTGCATATCACTTCTTTAAAGCCAATTGTACTCGTTTTTCCTCACTTCCGGGAGACGAGTTGTTAATCGGACTATTGTGGATAAAGTAGCATGACGAATAAGCTGGATTTTATTGATTAACTACCATGCCAAATGCATCACATGTATAACTAGTTATATAAGGAACTAATTTTATCCGGCGGATGCATATTTCACTATTGAGTTCCATCTTCCGATCGGATGCGTAATTCACAACGGTCACAAAGTTACGTGAGAGTAGTGTAGGATTGAGACAAATCCTAGGTTAATCTCACGTAACAGGTAGTCAGTTCGGATTGATCCAATTGAGTCAAAACCCTGGAGGCTAGCACAAGTTGTGATACCCGTAATAAGCGCTCAAAGATGGTTTGTGATATCGCGTAAAGGCTAAATAAGAAACGGAGTGGCGAGCAACTGTTGATCGAATTAGTATAATGTTTGTGTTCTGACTGTGAGGTCCTGGGTTCGATCTTCATTTTGAAGGATGAATTCGCACTGCTGATGAGACCCAGCCACGTAGAGACAGCTGTCCAGTGCTTCCTAACTTATTAGTTCCTGCTTCGTTTGCTCGGCACACGACGACATTCACTGTATAATTGGATCACAAATTTGTTGGGTTGTCAGATCGTCCAAACTTGTCGAGGTATTTTGTGTGTGCGACAGTCCAGCGTAGCTTAGGTCCGTACAAAAGTTGTTTATGATGAGGTTTCGTATTATACACACTATATGGACTATGTTCATTGTGATATGGATGTACTTCTGAGCGCTGTTTATCTCGGCCTATCGTAGCATGCACACTGGAAACGGAAAGTAACAACAAAAACCGGGTTATTGGTAAGTTTGTTTCAGTCGTGGATCGTGTGGCGCAGTGCAGTGGTCAGCATGTCGAAAGTCTGCTAACAATCTACTGCAATCCGAATCGTTATAATACTGAAAGGTAAGATAAATTTCATCCTCTCAGTAAACGGGTTGAGAAAGGTTTGCATTGAAAGTAACACTAAGGAACTCTGTTTATCTGGTGATCGTCGCACGTAACGACTATTCAGTGGTTGGCCATTTGGATGAGGGATCAACGCGCAGGCATCATTAGAAAGACGAATAATAAGAACAAGATTGCTCACCTTGCCGTTCAAGGGTGACATCCGCAGTAGTCAAGTACGAGATTTTCAGACGCAGTCCATTAAACTTCACGCACTAATGCTTCAGATTTCACTCAATCGCCGGATTATGATTTTGACGGTTAAAAGAGAAATTACAACTCTTTGCTGTCTCCTACGTGCATTCATTCACTTGTTCATATGAGACAAAGTACATTGGCAACAAGAAAAGCCATTTGTCTGAATGGATCTGTGAACATCACCATGTGGTTAAATGCTGGAACCGTGTTGTCCCTTGTTATTCGTGACTTCATCTTCGTCTCAGGTCCCAGTGACTATAAAAATTATCTTGACTGCATTACGCACATGTACGAATATAGTGAAATGACCATGTTACATTGTAGGAACCATTAAATCACAACTAGCCGAAGCAAACTACATTGTGGACGTGGAAGAAATATTCTGTTCCCTATATAGAGTTCCGGGTCTATTAATAAGCCGGGTCCGACTACATATGCCAAACGCAGCAGAGGTGATCAGTATTCGTGTTCCAAACCTCGCCTTCTGTGCTCAAAGACGATTTGTACACACACTTAAACTTCCCTGGTTTATTTCTCAAGTCAAACCGTACGATGAGTGTGGATCATTTGAAGAACCATCCACTTTTCGAACATTGTGAATTTCACATCCGATCTGAAAATGGGACTAGACATTCATATTTCCCTATAACTTCCCTCCTCGGCCATAAATGATGTTTCTGATTTCGGTGGTCATAGATGCCGTGACATATTTGACATGATGAATCGCCGAATGTGAGCTGCTTTGTCGTTATGGTTCGTTTACAATGTAATAGGTAGAACTGTTTTTAAACAAACTGTACCTACTTCCTTCTTTTGCCACAACCTAAATGGACTGCAAATCAGTGCCCAACGAATTCGGAGCCAATAACGTACTCCTCATTGACGTAATTTATTTGGCACACAGTCTGGCTTCAGACGTGTGTGAAATATAAATAGATAAAGATCTCACTTGCCTTCTGGAAGTGCGAGATTACCGCACACTCCCCAATGCTGGAGGATTCCACAGGGGACAGGAGTATTCGTTCAACTTCCTACCATTCGTTGGATCCTACCAATCAGTTCCAGTTACCAGTGACCACGGGTTTAATTGACGTTGCAAGCTAATGAAATTCACTGTAAGATGCTGACCCTTTTGAGGTCAAACTGTCAAAACACAGACGAAACTTGGTGGTTACAAAGAAAATATCAAAATCCTTCCCAAATTAAGATTTTATCCTGGGTCGTCCTCAATCGCTATTATATATATATATATAATGTATGAGGTCAGAATTTGTTTGAAACAAATCATGGCACAATCATCTTTATGAAAAGAAAAAAAGATACGTAATTGGCATGTGGACTTAATACTGCCAGGTTTCCCAGGCTAAGGCAGATGAGGTTTTGAGAAATACAACCGGAGCCTTCGACTAGCCAAAGCCTGACTCGCAAGGCAGCGGGGCGGTATGTGGAAACTTTGGTGGTCGGTGTGCAGTTCACCGTATCATGCGCTATTTGGACGGAGTCA